AACCCTCTATTACTTCAATGAATCTTTTGTCTGTGTTGTATCAATGGCAAAGAAGGGATTGTTTACCCCACTAGACTTGAAATAGTTTCAGCTTCTCTTTTTATTCTGTCAACCTTTGCTTCAAGTATTTTGGGGATTATTGTCCAGCAGTGGGGATTGAACCCGGGACCTCACTCATGCTAGTCAAAATCTCTATCACTGAGCTATATATATCCCAAATCCTCTTTTAACTTTTATTTTGAGACAGGATCTCACTAAATTACCCAGGCTTAGCTGTGAACTTATGGTCCTTTTATCTCGGCCTCTCAAGTCACTAAGATCTGAGACTGGACCACTAGGCCCAACTTGAAACTCTATTTTTAGGCACATGGGCACTTAGAATTATCGTGCTGCCTTGCTAATTGACTCTTCAAGTTAATCTCCTTGGTCAGTATATTAATGAGTTGTGTTTAAAGAACAAATTTGGCTGGGAGGAGTGGAGGGAGGGGAGGCTGTGGTCAGGATGTATTGTATGACAGAAGAATAAATAAACAAACAAACAAATCTGTCCTGGTAATCTTGTCCCCTTATTTGGATACTTAGGGGCATGTAACGTGTACTCTTCCAGCCAGCCGCCTGGGTCTTGCAGCTGTCTCTGTCCCCAAATAATACACAAGACACTATATTAATTATGAAGCTGTTGGCTGTTTGCTATGGTTTCTTAATGGCTACCTCTGACTTAATTATTAACCCATAATTACCAATATATATTTTTATAAGGTCTTATCTTACTGAGAATGCCAGACTTGCATTCTCTCCTCCCAGGATCACATGGTGACCTACTCCTTTTGACTACATTTTCCAGAATCCTCCTGGGCTGCTAGTCCCACAAATCTTGCTTTCCTATTGGCCAACAGTGCTTTATTTATCAACCAATCAGACAAACATACACACAGAAGGATTTCCCCCCATTGGGGGTGAGGGGAGAGGAGGGCATTGTTTTTGCTTTTTTATTATTGGAAATAGATTCTTCTTTCGTACAATACTTCCCTATCACAGTTCCCCCTCCCTCTACTCCTCCCAGCTCCACCCTATTCCCCTCTTCCCCAGATCCACTTCCCCTCCATTTTTTCTCTAGAAGAGATCAGGCCTCCACGAGTCAGCAGCCAAACAGGACAAAACAAGATACAATAAGACAAGGCAAAAGCCCTCATACTGAGGCTGGGCAAGGCAACCCAATAAGAGGAAAAGAGTCTCAAGAGCAGACAAAAGAACCAGAGATACACTGGTCCCGTGGTTAGGAGTCCCACAAGAACACCAAGCTGACATTTAATGTAATTATGAATATGATTTTATGATTACATTTTTAGTAGCACAGTGTTTAGTTCGTCTGCCTTTAGTTCCTCTGTCCACGCCCCCTTTTTACTTCTTTTGGATGGCTTGAATGTGTTTTATATTGTTTTAACTTACATACTAATATTTTTAGCTACAGCATCTTGAATTCCTTTTTAAATGATCTGACATTGGTTTGTACACTTGGTTAATATTGTATCTCATCACAGAGTGTAAAAACCTGGGACAGTACAGCCTACTGGTCATTCCTTCCCACTCACTATAAGTCCACAGACATACGTAGCATCATTACCTTGTATGTATCATGTTTTTTTTTTTTTGGTCCTTGCAAGATTTTTCTCTTTGCCTCTAGTTTTCAATGGTTTAATAATAATGTTGAAGTTTTATTCATAATTTTGCTGTTTGGGTTTTATTGTGATTTGGGATGTATAATTTACATGTTTCAATATGAAAGGTTTTCAGTCAGTATTTTCTCACATATATTTCTGCCTCATTTTTTTTCCTTTCCATCTGGAACTGTAATTAACTACATACTTTGGACATTGTCCCACATGTACTTGAAACTTGTTCTCTTTTTTCCCCAAATCTTTTTTTGTTGTTGTTGTTTCTTATTTTCAGACAGGATAATTTCTGTTGATTATTCTTCCAGTTCACTCACTCAGCCATTCATCAGAAGAACGTAATGTTCTACTAATTCTATTTCCCATCCAGACTTAAGGCTACAACTCAGGTTTTAAGTGCAGCAGACATCTGTCATGATAAGATATATAAATGTTAACCATGCAATACCATGATATTGAATAAAACATGATTAAAAAGCTATTCTCCTCATTTTGAGTGTTCTTTCAATGCAAGCATAGTGCCCAGCATGTAGGAAATATTCAAGATACAGATGTCAATAAACGGCTATAGCTAGATGCTATAATTATGTTATCAGCTCAGCTCAATGGATCCCAGAAGAAGACATTGAGTAAAGATGAAAGACCAGGGAGAGAAAGCTCCGTTTGAAGGACTGGCCCTGCTGTCACTAGCCTGCCTGAAAAGGGGGATTCTCGTGACCCAGCTCTGGGTTCCAAAGACCCTTAGGGAAAAGGAGTATCTTTGACTGTGAGATAGATGTTCTACGTACAACATCTACCTCCCTTTTCCCGGAGCATGCTCTCCTCTCAGCCTCCCCCAGGAGGGCCTCTGCATGGAGACTTGCTCCATCTTTCCTTCCTCTCGCTTTTGGGCCACAGGGTGTTCTGGAAGGATATGCCTGCTTCATCTACTTTGTCACAACACTCTCAGGAGAAGAAATCTAGTCTGTCCCCTGAAAAGAGACTTCTTACTTACAAGACTATAAAAAAGGAGTCAGCAGTGCAGGATGGTGGTGGCACATGCCTTTAGTCCCAGCACTTGAGGCAGAGGCTGGTGGATCTCCGAGTTTGAGGCCAGCCTGGTCTACAGAGTGAGTTCCAGGACACCCAGGGCTACACAGAAAAACCTTGAAAAACAAACAAGACAAAACAACAGCAATAGAATCATTCTTAAGGAATCTGTTGCATTACTTAATTAAAATTTTTTATTATTATGCCATTTCTAAAGTTGGATATATTTTTTAATGCCCCTGTCTGAAACCCAGGTCTGGAAACATTGTATAATAGCAAATGTACACATAATAGAAGTTGTAACCCCTGACGAGCCTCTCCAGCACTCCAAGCTGAAGTGGGAAGAGACATCAGCAGAACCATGGGAAACTAGTGTGGACTTTTACTGAGTGGAGTAAGATGCTTAGGACATCTGAAGCGGTGTATTAGCCATGCTTAGGATGTCTGCAGTGGTTCGTTAACCATGCTTAGGATGTCTGCAGCGGCGCATTAACCATGCTTAGGATGTCTGCAGTGCTGAGTTAACCATGCTTACGATGTCTGCAGCAGTGAGTTAACCATGCTTGGGATGTCTGCAGCGGTGCATTAACCATGCTTAGGATGTCTGCAGCAGTGAGTTAACCATGCTTAGGATGTCTGCAGCAGTGAGTTAACCATGCTTGGGATGTCTGCAGCAGTGAGTTAACCATGCTTGGGATGTCTGCAGCAGTGAGTTAACCATGCTTGGGATGTCTGCAGCGGTGCATTAACCATGCTTAGGATGTCTGCAGTGCTGAGTTAACCATGCTTAGGATGTCTGCAGCGGTGAGTTAACCATGCTTGGGATGTCTGCAGCAGTGAGTTAACCATGCTTGGGATGTCTGCAGCAGTAAGTTAACCATGCTTGGGATGTCTGCAGCAGTGCATTAACCATGCTTAGGATGTCTGCAGTGCTGAGTTAACCATGCTTAGGATGTCTGCAGCGGTGCATTAACCATGCTTAGGATGTCTGCAGCAGTGAGTTAACCATGCTTGGGATGTCTGCAGCAGTGAGTTAACCATGCTTGGGATGTCTGCAGTGGTGAGTTAACCATGCTTGGGATGTCTGCAGCAGTAAGTTAACCATGCTTGGGATGTCTGCAGCGGTGCATTAACCATGCTTAGGATGTCTGCAGCAGTGCATTAACCATGCTTAGGATGTCTGCAGCGGTGAGTTAACCATGCTTGGGATGTCTGCAGCAGTGAGTTAACCATGCTTGGGATGTCTGCAGCAGAGAGTTAACCATGCTTGGGATGTCTGCAGCGGTGCATTAGGTGCATTAGCCATGCTTGGGATGTCTGCAGTGGTGAGTTAGCCACTGCTCTCTCCCCAGCACTTTATTTTCCCCCTCTTTTAAGGTAACGCCTTCTTGATGAAGGTTTCTTGACTTGGGGGCTTCTTTGGTTTGCCTTCCTACCTATCCTCCAAACAAAAGATTGTTGGTTAAGGACTGTCTGTCTGGAGTGGTAAGTTGTTCTATTTCTGAATGTCTTTTTCTAAGATTCCTAGGGTCTTAGACAGGACAGGCCAGCTGGGCCGGAGGCAGCCATGTATCCAGGTGAGAGTTGGCATCACTCTGGCAATGAATGTCTCTTTTTCCTAACGGAGAGGCATTGTTGTAAGTCATGATGTGGGTGTCCTTGAGCACTGGCAGTGGCTCTCCAGGATGCTCTGGTAGTCCAAGCCCCCTGACTGAAAAAGGTCAGGAAGCCCTCCTAGGAGGTATGGGTACATGCTGGACCATCACTGGGCCAATGTCACAAAAGTCTGCTGCTGTACATGGGTTTAGTTAAAAGAGCTAAAAATGTTCTTTCAGTGGGAGCCTCCCCCCTCCCCCACTGGCCCCACATATGAGCAAATGATGGCTCCTTGAAATCTTAGAAGTTCATATTGTCACCGGGGAAATTAAAGTAAAAGGAACTTCTCTTTCCAGATCCCTCCTCTGGGTGGATTGCATGAGGAGATGTCTACAAAATTGTGGGTAGATATCTCAGATGGGGTAGGGGGGGCGAGGGGGGCTTTAAATGGACAAATCAGTCCAAACCACTGAGGCTATAACTCTTTCCCCAACCACCAGCAGAATAGTATAACAGACTCTTTATCGGCAGCCCATTAGTGCTAAGGAGAGGCGTTTTGGAGTGTGACATCAGTCCACCACTTGACCCAAATCTAGTATTTCACCAGAGAGCTGTGTTCTGCCGGCTTTCCCACTGCGGGGAAGACATGCGTGGGGAAGAGGCCAGGAGGCACAAATAAGATACAGATTGGAGACTTTCTGATGTGTTTAGCACATTTTTGTGACTTCCTTTAATACCATAGACCTTGCATTCTTCCACTATTAGGGAACTAAAGACAGGTCTGAGATGGGGCTCCAGGGTGGGTAGGGAGGGGAAACCCATTCAATAAAAAGTTCTGTTCGCTTCATTAACATTTTTAATTCCAGTGATTAAAAAGGGAGGTAAAAAAAAAACGGAACGAGAATGGGTACCACAGCCCAGTGACTTCAGATATAAAAAGGTCCCTTCATTAAATCAGCTGTTTTTTAATTCATAATTGAATGTAAATAAAGAGCGACCTACAGGCAGCTGTTTCTAATACCGAGGCCTCAGCACACATGAAAGGGGCATTTATTCCTGCAGCAGCCTCCCTACCCTTGGGTGTTATCAGCTGAACATGTTTTGAACCTACCTAATGCATTTGAGGTAGCTTGAGTTTATTTTTCTTTCAATAAAATAAATGGTTTTGTAATTAAATTTCTGCACTGCCTGCGCTTAATGGTTACATTGACAAGTGCTAATGTATGGCAAGAGAACGAGTTTGAAATGAAACATGCTGTTTTCGAATCTGCAAGCAATTTTACAGCGGGCCAATCAAACCCCTCCTGCCAGCGAAACATTTTCATTAATCTGCACTGTAAGTACACCCCTGCCTGCTCGGCCGGCCGTGTGAGGACACTTTGCAGCTTCTGTTATGTCTACCCTCCCTGCCTTTACCTTCTAAGAGGAACACACATTCGTACACACGCACATGCATGCACACACACACACGCATGCACAAACACGCACGCGCGCGCACGCGCTCACCCGCACAGATCATCAGCTGAGCCGTTGTCTGAAACCTTTTGTGGTCTCTGGCAGCAGGATCTGTGGAAATTCGCTGACTTTTCACCTGGAACATTGCAGCTGTCTTTCTCCTCTGGAAGGACTGGCTGCCTCAACGCCTCAATCCCTGGCAGGAAGCCAGCAAAAAGGCTGCCCCTAAGTTTGGTTGTTGTTGTTGGTTTGTTTATTTTTAACTTACTCTGTCAGCTAAATCTTTGAAACTCCTCATACGGATTAGAGAGAATAGCTATGACATAACTCTGCTCGCTGTATGCAAACCACTTCCAGCCCCAGCTAGGACGTGCAGCACCCTCATGCCTCTGCTAGCATGGAAACCTGCAGGGGTGAAGGTGGCGATGCTAGCTCCACTTCCGCCTGTGGTGGGCTGTGCGCCTGCGCAGGTATGAGACTTGGACTGAAGATTCAGAGGCCCTCTTCGTCCGAAAGGTTGTTTGCTGGGGGCTCCAGAGAACGTTTGTAGCTGGCTCATCTCCTTAGGACTGCCCTGTCCATTTTCCAAACTCCAAAATTGCTTTTCACCGCTTTGGATGCTACAGTGCTTGGGGGAGGAGGAATGAGAAATGAGATTAGCACTCATGTGATTTGCAAGGTGAAGCCCATCCTTAGACGGAAAAAGGAAGGAAGAATTAGTTTGAATCTCGTTTCTCGACTAAATGGCGGCTGGTAGAAGCAAAGATTGAAACTTGTCTATGAAAAAGCAGAGAGGCCTAGGCCCAGAAGGAGGGAAATAGGGAGGAGTGAAGTTGCAGGGCTACTAAAATGGGCCTGGCTAGGTCTGACCTAGGATCCTAAGAAACTAATGTACAAAAACATGGACGCAATCACTGCAGACAGCCTGCCACTGACATGCTAGTTGCTGTTTTCTGTGTGACAGTATAACAAATTATTCTGCTGATAACGATTTCTCGATGTATGCCCACATCTTAGGCTCATTGGAGGTGTAGACACTACAAAAGCATACTGGCTTCTTGTGGAAATCTGTGCTGTGATGTAGCTACAAACAAATTGCCATGTGGGTTTGGGGCGGTCAAAGTGATCTGTGTTTGGATAGATAGGAGAAAGCTTCTTGGAAGTGGTGAGCTCTGGAAGGTGAATAGAACTTCCAGAAAGGAGAATGATTTGTGCTTGTACATGAATGGAGTCTTAACTGAATGTGATGTGTATGGTGGGTGGGAATAAAGTTGAGGAGTTGAGATAGGGTACGTAGAAGCCCTTGTTTAGCAAGCTCCAAAGGTCTTCATAAACCCCTGGCACTATTTAAAGATACCAGAACTATGGAGACCGAGGTGGATCACCGAGGAGTGGTGTTATAATCTATCTGTGCATTTATTAATAAGCCTTGATAAACAAGGGTGAGCTGAGAAGAAATGCCACTGGGTGTGAGCAGACCACAGCCAACTTTGATAACTCAGGTCAGTAGGAAGGGACGTTCAGAGACAGAGACGGTGTGCATTCACAACCAGTTGGTACGGTGGGAGGAAGAGAACCACCAGCCAGTGGTTTCTCTTCAGGGCTCCTCAGAAGAAGCCCGTGTGTGTCAACAACAGATGAGGAAATCTTGAGCAAAGCACATTTGGGGAGAGAGAGAGATAAAAAAGGGAAACACTAGCTTTAACTGGATTTATGAATTTTATGAAGAATTATCATGGGTCAGTAGGGGGAAAAATGGACCAAAATGGATGGAACGTGGAACTCCAAGGAATGTCTACGTCAAAAGCAGCCACAGCAACAGCCGAGGCCGGTGCAATAGGGTCAGATGAGCCAAGATGGGGAGCCGAGGTCAGAGAAAGGCTGAGCATTGCTGTGTTTCAATGAGACCCAAGAAGGTGAGGCCCTTGGGTTCTGCAATGGAGAGGCTGCTGTTTACCCCTGAAGAACTGGCTGAATGAAAGGAAGCTGAGAGGGCTGTGAGAGGCAGAGAGAGAGAAATAGGGTCCCACAGAAGTCTATACATCTTGATTTTTCTCACGATTATAGCAAACCAAAAAAAAAAAAAAAGCTAAGAAAAATCTCTTGGCTCCTTCAGTGGAAATTAACAGAACAAAAGAAAAATAAGTTCGACTATTTGGTTTTGGAAACCACACCTCCCTGGGTCAGACTCTCCTGGTCTCAAAAGTACAGGGTTTCAGGGAACTTCACAGTGATTTGTGCAAGGAAAGCTTCCTCAGCGGGGAGTCCACAGATCGTCATGGAGGAAGAATCAGTAGAGAAGGGTGTCAGGGCCCATAAAGACGGCTCTGCTTCATCTTGACTCAAAGGCAGAGAGTTCAAAATTGTCCTTTGTAAGTCTTAAGACCTGAAGGTCTAAGACGTGTCTAAACATCTAAGTAGGATGTTTGATATTGGCCTCGGATGTCTTATCTAAATAACAACAGACTTGGTATGAAGTGTGGTTAATCTTGACCCTCAAGGCCAGATAAGGTGTGGTTACCAAATGTTTGGAGATTTAAGGAAGAAAGTCTGTTCCGTGTGCATGATACCATGTTCCCCTTTTTGGTTGGGGTATTCAAAAATGGTGAATAAACTTGGGGCATTCAGTATTCACTGAATTGCCCTCCTGACTCTATCCTGTATCTCTGTCTTTCTCTTACTGTCCTTACACTCCCCCTCCCAGGTACAAATCAGGCAAGTTGGCTGGATCCACAAAGATGGGCTCCCACAGAAGGGGAGATTAAAATGGCACCAAAAAGAGGACTCTGAGTGGTAAGATCATGGCAGGGCGGCGGCGGCGGAGCAGGGGGTTGTGTAAAAGGAGGTGGAGAGAGTGTCCTCATAATGCAGAGGAAAGATGGGGTGTTGGCCAGAGAAGAAACACGGGGTAAAGGCAAGAGGAGACAGCAGCAGTAGCAGCATCCCAAGAAAGCACAGTGACATCATGTTGGGGGTGAGGGGTGAGGTGATGGGAGAGAGGGTGGCTTAGAGGTGTGAGGTAGGTAGGAAAAGGGGTCGTAAGCAGGAACAAGTAGTGGCATCCAGCCCAAGAACCCCACTGAAGATGGAACCCTGGCAGGCATCCCCATCTGTGTGGTCATGATATTTACCCCAGCCTTTCCCCACAAAGCAAAAACAGGCTCAGAAGCACAGGACATGGCCACAGTGTGTGTCTGGCTATAGATGGCACCCCAACTGTCATTGAGGGCCAACTAGGGAGATGTTTGCAGCAGGAGGGGCTTTCTTAATGGTATGTGTAAGCTTCATCTTTTTACACAATGATGTATAAACTGTAACGTCGGAGGTGGAGGGGGAACCCCCTTTTCTCCCTTTTGGGTTCCCTGTGCTGTGTGATCTGGGTCATCAGTGCAGACCTCGCCAAACGCCGTACCTCTCTGCCTTACTTGAGCTGTGCTCTGATGAAGAGCCCAGGCTGCTCTGTGTTTCATCTACTGCCCGTCTATAACACTGTGATGTGCTGCCTGCTGGTCTCCAGATCACAATGAATGGATGTTTCTGTTACGCTGCTCCATGTGGTGTCTGTGGAAGACAATTAGGTGTTTAAACAAAGACCAATAAGCAGGTTAAGGTTGAAGGTGAGGTTTAAATGAGTTCACCAGACCCAAGATAAATGATAAATAGGTGTTTTATTGAGGATGAACTCACACAGGTAACTGTAAGTAACTGTTATGACATCCCTGCTCGAAGGATGCAGACCCTGCCTCTCCGATGCTCTCCACAACCCAAGGGGGGTTCTGTCCCCACCTCTTCTACCTTAAACAGGTCACATCCGCACATGAAACCATGCCCAAAGAGTGTGGTCACTGTTACAGGTTCACAGGCAAGATGCTGCTACATAAGGTGCCTGCTGCCAAGCCTGATGGCCTGAATTTTGATTCTTGGAACCCACATAGCAAAAGGAGTTGTGCTGTGGTTGTCCTCTAACTCCCGTGTGTGTGTGTGTGTGTGTGTGTGTGTGTGTGTGTGTGTGTGTGTGTGTGTGTGCATGTAAGTAAAAGTAATTTAAAAGCTTGTTGGGGTGGTGGCTCATGTCTTTAATCCCAGCACTCGGGAGGCAGAGGCAGGCAGATCTCTGTGAGTTCGAGGCCAGCCTGAGCTACAGAGTGAGTTCCAGAACAAATATGTCTACACAGTGAAAACCTGTCTCAAAACACCCCCCTCACCACACACACAAACAATCACAAACTAATTAAAAATGAATAAAGACAACATCACTGATAGGTTTGATTCCACAAAACTATATATTTTGCCTTGCTGGTATTATGATTATTCCTGATGTTCAATCAAGGTTATTAAAACTAAAGAGAACCACCGTTACCAATTGGTTTTGGACATTAGACACTATTGGACTACACGTCACATGTATAGAGAATCCTGGCCTCAGGCAAAATTGCCTCCAGTGGTGGTTTCTTCCCCTGCTTGGGATGGGCAGCATGTTGGTGTTTTTAGAATAAAAATTGCTACAGCATGGGAGCCATCCATCCTGCCTCACCTGACTATCAAGAGGTTCCATAGGCTCTGCTTTTTAATCCTCTTCAAATATCTCAATCTCCCTCCCCAAAGCCCTGAGGAAACTTTTGAAGCTACCTTTATGTCCTGCTAATATTAAGTGTGTGCTGTGGTGAGTTTGTCAGAAGAGGAACAAGAAGCTCAAAACCCAAGGAAGATCTCCGTGGTTTCGGCAACCCTGAGTTCTGCCTATCCTAGAAGCTCTGACCGTGGAGACGCCTGAGACTGGGAAGAACGTCCCTGAAACTGCAAGGAATGTCCATTGCAGCCTCAGAGAGCAAACGGTGGGCTGAGTGGACTGAGCTCCGGACAACCAGATACCCAAATACCCCCATGTGCTCTTGTCTTCTCCATGAGGACCACACCTAGGAAGAGAAAGTGTCCAGGGAGAGGAGAATGAATATGACCAAGACAAACCGAATGAAATTCTCAACCAATACCATTATTCTTTAAAACGTGTGTGTCCTAAAGGTGACTTGTCACCATCCTGATGGAGGCACCTATTCCATTAGCTTCTAGGTGAGCCATTTACTTTCAACCATTTGAACATGATGACTGCCAGTCCAAGAGCAGGAAAGGTAAATGACTAGCAAACTGTGATGTTCTAACCCCTTGGCTACATTGTCTCAGGGTGTTCTTGTTACTTAAGTAGCTCCAGCCCCATGTTTACAGATGGGGAATTGTGAATTGTGTGGTGAGCTCTGGATTGGAGCCTAAGCCTGTTCTGTGTTCATCTGCTACTTACCTGTAACGCAGCACCGCCCTTAGCAACCACTGTCTCCAAGCTGCAGGGGTAGTCTCCCTGTTCTGATGTTCCATGTGGGTCCCTGAGGAAGAGGACAAATCTAAATACGGTGGCTGAGAAACAGTAGCATTCTCATGTGTTACTGAGACTTTCCCCAGAAGGCAGACACCGTGGAAAGAAACCCCTCCTTAGCTACTGCCTGAGGATACACAGTAAAACACCACAAGCCATATCTTTCTCAGCACCCAAGCCTCAGAAGCTCTGCTTGTCACTTTAAAATGCATAACAAACCTCAGGGAATAAGGAACGCTTAGGTACCCAGTGAACTGGTGTCCCCTTACTAAGTCCCTAGTTAGAGTTCTTCACTGGTGGCAATAATGTGCAGGGCGTGTGTGTGTGTGTGTGTGTGTGTGTGTGTGTGTGTGTGTGTGTGTGTGTGTGTTAGGGTTCCCACTAGATCCGCTCACTTTGCTGCCTGAATGTCACTGTGTGAGGCTGAAGGAAGAGGGCTAAAATTAGAAAAGGAAAGTGGAAGCGCCTGGTGTAAGACACGTGTTAGGTTAGCATTCTGAGGCCATTCACACTTTATGTAGCAGAACTGATTGAGCGTTATAATTCATCTTCTCCTTGGCCCTGAGCCCTTGCTAGACTTCCAGAAAGGAAGGCCCACAGAGGAAGGAAGAGGAGAAGGAAAGAAGCCGGGGCAATTCCCACAGTAGGAAGGTGCCTGGTCTGCGATGAGGGAGGGTGGCGGCCGAAGGCCGGCTGCTGAGACAGACAGGGAAGCCTGGGTGCTTTGGAGCCAATGTGCAAGTTATGAGAATTTCTTAATGACCATAACTCCTGAGGGAGGCATGTGAGCAGTGCCTGGCGCCAGCCAAGCTTGCACGGGCGCTCTAGTCCAGATGGAAAATGTGTAGGGAATGAGAGAGGAGGGTGAGAAGAGACTTGGGTTGCTGAAAGTGACTGATGGGCTTGGGATGGCAAATCTGGCTCCGGAGGGATCGGAGTCTGACTGGACTAAGCTGTAGAGATCAGTGACTTTCAGGAGAGAAAGAACCCCGACTGAGCATTTCTAGAACCAAGTTTCTTCAAGGTTCTCTGAGAGTCTCATTTGTGTATTCCACTTCCAAACCTCTACTAAAGACATCTCTCTCTCTCTCTCTCTCTCTCTCTCTCTCTCTCTCTCTCTCTCTCTCTCTCTCTCTCTCTCTTCAGTTTTTTGAGACAGGGTTTCTCTGTATTGTTTTGGACGCTGTCCTGGAACTCGCTCTGTAGACCAGGCTGGCCTCGAACTCACAGAGATCTGCCTGCCTCTGCCTCCCGAGTGCTGGGATTAAAGGCATGCGCCACCAACGCCCATCTGTCTTTTTCTCCTCAATATGCCCAAGGCCTTCCAGGCTAGCGCAGGCCTCACTGTTTTACTGAAGATGTGACTGTCATGCCTCTTTCCCCTGACCCACTGAATTTTCCATAACAGAAGTCCTGTTAGTCTAGGATCCAACAGAGATGTGTGCTTGAACTGAGTGTTTCTCAGAGCCTTGAAGTTACCCAGAAATTCCATAGGAAAAAACTTATAAGACCTTGTTCACAACAACATTTTCTGTATTAAAATGCAAAATTGCCAAGAATGGTTAAAGCTGAGACTGCAAAGCAATTTGTTGAGAATGGATGCCGATTTGGGCCATACCCACCTGGATACCTATTTGCATCCCTCCTTACTGAGAACTTGCCTATATTAATCTGAGGAGTGAATCGATAGGATGTCAGGAAACAGGAGGTTGGACAATGGAAAGTAGAAGTCTTGCTAATTAGTAGCAGCTAGACATAGTTTTATTAAGCTGCTGTTAAAACGTAACAACAGCAAACACTCCTTAGGACACTGGCATGTAGTGTGCTGCAATGCAGCTAACCACGACATTGTAATAGCTGAACTACACATTTTATTTCAACTAACCCTCAACAAATCGATGAAGTGCCTGTGGCTCCCTGATTTATGACTGATGAAATCAAATCATGGTGCAATAAAATAATTTCCTGAACTCAAAAAGGCAGTTAAGATCCAGATCTAGGGTTCTGTCCTGGGCTGCTGTGACACTGTGTCTTAAAACAAACAAACAAACAAACAAACACTCCCCCCCATATTTCCCCATCCTTCCCAGGTCCTACCTAAAGATGATTCTTATTGGCCCCAAATGTGATCCTTCACTGCTGCAGGTACAGCACCCCAGCTTGAATGGAAACTCAGTCTGTCTCGGGACTTCCTTCTCATGTTAGGGCTCCTGGGTAAGTATGCCAGGGACCCATACCCCGTATTATCATTAGGGAGATCTCACAGAACACCGGCTTGGTTTATCTAACCAGAGATTAAATTATCGATTTTTTGGTACCTTTATGTGCTATTTTGAGACCCATCGAGTTTGATGTAAATGTCCGTAAGAAAGAGATAAGGGTCAACTCAGTAGCTGGTTGTTAATATTTCTCTGCACAGAGAGACTCAGAGTGAGAGAGCAAGCCTCTGTGTATGTGTTTCTCTTATTGGTTGAGGAATAAAACACTGTTTGGCTAGTGGCCAGGCAGGAAGGATAGGTGGGGCTACCAGACCAGGAGAATGCTGGGAAAGGGAAGGCAGGCAGGGATGCTGCCGAAGGAGTAGCATGCCTGGTTTAGGGTAAGCCACAGCCTTGTGGCAATACATAGATTAACAGATATGGGATAATAATCTAGAGAGTGCTAGCCAATAAGAAGGCCAAGCCATGGCCAACAGTTTCATAATTTATAGAGCGTCTGTGTGTTTACTTGGGGCTAAAGCAAGGCAGTGGCGGGACCTGGCAGGACAGAAAATACTACAGCAACATGGAACCCCTTGATTGACTTGTTTATCCCCAAGAACTTGGCCATGCAGTAAACACTCCAGTTGATACTTTCACTGCAGTCACAAAGACAAACCTGAATTGTTTTAGTAATACACACCACATCATCGAGTCCTTTGCTATTTTATGATGTGCCTGGCTAGGAAATTTGGACCAGTGTAAGAGGACTAGGCAAAGGGTTGGGTCTCTATTTTTTTTAATCCTCTTCTAGCCCTTTCTTGGCATTTCTGTACAGGGAGAAGCTTCACTTTCCCATGGTCTGTTCAGATTCACCCTGTCTTCCCAAAGGCCCTTCTAACTTTACGCCACACAAACTCATGTCTCGGGGACTTGCCAGAGCTTGTCAAGTCCTAATGTTTTCCTTGGCAAGAACTATACTGCTTTGCTGAAATGGATCAGCAGAGTCCACTGGGCTTGATGCTGCTTCTCCAGGCACTGTACATGGCTTTGGGACGCTTCCAGTTTGCACAGACACTGGCACTCCCCGGGCTCTGCCTGGTTCAAGCCTGCTAGCTGCCCGAGGCTTTAGTGGACTTGAGTGCCACACTGCTCTGGAGGTCAACAAGGGTCATTCTGTTGCTGCTCTAGTCTCGTCATCAGGGCCTGCTCCCAGCCCCTCCTGCTGGCATCATCCATCTTTCAAGTTAGAATGAAAGTTCACTTATCCATTCCTCAGTATTTACAGGGTATTGCTAAAATTTCATTTATTGGCCAGGCTGGTAACGATGAACTTCACTGTGAGCCAGACTGATGAAAGGCCGTAGACCCCATGGAATTTAAGTTTGAACTCACCAACTTCGAGGTGGATGCATTTGAAATTTAATAGGCTTCTCCTTCCAGAATGCCTCTTTCTTAAAAGAAAGCATTAGTAAGTAAGGTTTAACACAGAGGGGGAAATAATACATGTAGAGGAATCCCAGATACCCAGTTTGAGGAGTGGAATTGACTGAGCCATCTATTTGTTTTTCTAGAGCAGGAGGCCCCAAACCACTGCTCATGGCTCCAACACCTGTTTTGTAGGGTCCACAAGCTAAGAATGATGTTTGCACTTTTAGAGGTTGATAAAAATCATCAAAACAACGTTCTACGATCTCAACATGGAGATAGGCGTTTTAGCGCTGGTACTCGGTCATGCCCATTCATTCACACACATCTGTGGCCACTTTCACGCCTCAACAACAGTTCAGTAGTAGTAACAGAGACTTGCATGTGGCCAAAAAGCTTAAAACAGTTGCTTGGCTGATCCTCTACAGCTGACCCCACCCGCAGAAGCACATGATGGGCACAGCTATGTTATTTCCTGGGTGCCTAAAACTGGCCCAGTCTGAGAAGCAGGAATCCCTTTGTCTCTTCCCTTTGTAGAAGAGAACCAGAGTAGCATGAATGCGGGGATCAAGGAAAGGCTTCCCAGTCTTCTCTTTAGCATGCTGGGACAGGCCTTGAACACAAGCCTCACTCCCAGGGCATCTTCAGGGGTATTTTGCCATGTTTGATGCAAACTTTCACTTCTGGGTTTAATGATGGAGGGCCTTCTTGCTGGAGTGCTTTTGCAAATATAAATCTGTACCTGTGGGAAAGAAACAAGGCTTCTAAAGGCCCTTTTCCATGTACTACCCATCGACCACAGGGTAGACCGACTCTCTGATGGACAGATAGGACAGATAGGGAGAGGGGCCATTGCTAGAAAATAAAGGTGACAAATCCCCCAAGACGGCCAGCTTCTCCCTCAGTCTCCTGACTAGAGACGTCTGTCACCAGCAGGCACTGTGCTGACGGACTGGCTCAGCAAGGTCAAGGCCTGATCTCACAACAGTTGACATGGCCAATCCACCATGCTATCTGTCTTCAAACTGACCAACCCAAAAGTAGGAGAGGGAGACTCTTCAGTGGCTTTAACGGCCCCCAGCCTGCCTATCCTGACACCAGTACTCAAGGGGAGCACTGAGGTCTGGCCAGCAGGACCTGCTAAAGGATGGGCTTGGAGGGCAAGAAACTACTTGCAGAGCGTCTTTTCTTCCTCTGTGTCTGCTGCCTGTGTGTGTTTCCTCACCCCCAACAAAGGCCTTTCTTAACTGCCAGCCCTGTCTGTGGTGCATGAGGGTTCTCTGCTGAAACCTGTGGCACTTCAGATTTTCTTCCCCCTATCTTCTAATATTTTACCTGGCTGAGAACATGAACCCAGCCAAGGCCCCCTAGACTCTATCATTTC